GCTCCCCATCCCCCCTCCATCTCTACAACCAGTCCCAGGCAACCATTATTGGAGACCAAAAATCTTGCGTTGCCTGGCCGGGTATCGAACCCGGGACCGCCCGGTAATAGAGCTAGTGCTACAACCACTACACCGTAGGAGGCCGACCACCAAAAGCTAGGGGAGCGAGAAAGTGAAAAGGGAATCCAGAAAGCGGGGTGAAACCTGGTGCGCCCTTGTGCCCCTTGTTGCCCCTCGTGCTTCATGCCCCAGGCAACCGCCGATACATTCATCTAGGGAATGGTAGCAAGGAAGACGATTCACTTGAAACTTTCGGAGCCGTAACGATTGTAAAGATGAAAAGTTGGGAACCACTTTTACACGTCCATTTTGACTTGGTCCACCATCTAAGGTCTCGTCCACACTAGCGGTGTTTGGAGGAAAGAAGTTATAGGTGAGTTATGACAAGTTCGTGGAACCGCGCTCGTGCGGACAAGGCCCTAATTTCCTGCAACAACCATTTTCCATCCACTCATGGAGGCTATGCTGGATCTAGGAAACGGAGCAGGTTGGAGAAAAAGGTGCCAGGGACAGGAAAGAACAAAAACAGGAAGTGAAAGGAAGAAATAAGATGAATGAAAATGTATAAACTTAGGAATGAATACTAAATACGGCCTGATATGACGTCATCTAGATCATGCGCCTGGAGCAGCGCGACCGTTTCAGAACGAGCACACAACACACACGCGAGACTCACTCCAAACCTAAAATTCAATCCACCCTTTTCAAAAGATCAATTTAGCTAACTCGACGTGGATACACCTATCTTTTTTTAATGAGACATCTCCCTAATTTTAAAGTTTCGTCAGAAAATGGATCGTGACGATACAAAAAAAGAGAAGTGCCGCCGAACCGCTGCACCGCGCCGATAGTAATTCATTCGGAACATTTCAAACTGGTTGCCAGTTTTTGACTTTCACAATTGCTACGGCTTGGGAAGTTTCAAGTGAATCGCATCGCTTTTCAATCTCGTTTCCTTGAGGAATACATCAGCGGTTGGCTTAGAGTTGAAAGGGCACACCTGGCGCAGGGTGTTTCGCTCAGAGCGAAAACACCAAAACGCCTGCATTTTTGTGTGCATGCAACATGGACATCCATGGAACACGAATAGTTGCATCCAGTTCAGTCGCTGATATCCATCACGCTACGCGCTACGAACGGTGGTAACCCCTGCTTGTGCAAACATACAACCTTTGCTTTGAAAAGCTCCAGTCAAGCCTTATTTTATTACAAAAACCGAGACGGCTTTTAACTCGTGGAATTATACGGCGCTTTTTCTTTGCTTTCCTAAAGGTGCACTTTAAACAATTGTAGGTAAATAATTGGTTTGGCCAAAAGCCAAGTTATAAGCCATAGCGGGGACGGAACCAACGCGACCTTGGCCTCCTTCTGAGGATTCCAAACGTCCAAAGTGATCATTCCCAATTTGAATTCGAAATTTCGGATTGAATTAATTATTTTTGAAGAAATCCTTTTTTTCGTTGATTTCATGGCTTTTATGAGAAAATGCTTTCAATACATTAGAGGGAATGACTAGACTCGTTTGGATCAACCATTTATTCAATTTCTAAAAAAAGCGTTTGTTTTTTTCCTGGAAAACGCGATCCAATCGATTTGATAACCCTCGAGAGCCTTCGTTGACTGAGCCTATTTTGTTGACTTTAAGGTGATTCGTTCCCTTCTGGTTTAGAGTATATCGCATTGATTAAGTAATAACTTCAGTAGATGTTGACTTTAAAGTCGAGAAAAAAAAGACGGCCCCTGCGCATAAGCCTGAAGATTCGCATTCTCGACCAAAAAATTGGCGAAATTCAGAGAAACCAAGGTAGGATTATATTCGGTGAAAATGTTTCATTTGATGCACCTGAAACACCTGTTTCATTTGATTGGTCTTTGTTTCGGATGCGATTTTTTTATCCGAAAAGAATCCTGCCTTCATCTTCTATATTTTGCAATTTTTTTCGATTGAGAAGGATTCTTTAAGCCCATGCACAGCTGCTATCGTTCTTTTTTTTGGCTAAAAATTCAGCATCTGCCGAGATTTGTTTTTAGTCTTGCGAGCACGCCAAGACTCCGGACGAGTGAGCTTTAAAAGGCATTTGGCGGTGTTGTGTGGGTTTGTCGTGTGAGTTGGCAAGGCTGCTGACTTGGGGGATCGAGTCTCGAGTTTCACGCGTGGCACGAACGGGAGGGAGCATGTTCAACAAGCTTTGGAGGAGATTCCGGATTCAATAATGGAGATAAATGCCAAAAACCATCTCCCGTGACACAAACACGCACCTACAGAAAGAGAAGATCCTGCCACTCGAGTGTCTCAAAACGAGAACTCCTCCCTCGGCGTCCTTCTTTATTTCATCCATCATACGCCGGTGAAAATTTCGAAAAAAGGAGCTGTCTTGAGAAATTTACTTGAGGAAAAAGTTGCGGGAATAAGTTTTAAAAGTTAAGCGAGTCGGATCATTGCATAAATCGTATTAAGTTCAAAGGTACCCGGTGAATGCTAAAAGTTAACTTTGCTGACAGGGTGATCACAGTCACAGAATTTCTAGAGAAGAACCCGGAGAAGTTAGGTAAAAAACTAAAGTGATCCAAAACTCAGTTCAAAACTGCTTCTCATTTGAATTTTTCTGGTCTTACTATACATCCTCAACAGCCCGCCAGAAGGTCTAATGCATACTAGAGATACAATCACCCGAGGTTAAATCCCATGGAAATCACCTCTGCTACAGTGAAAATGTCTAAAATTCAGTTCAAAACGCCTAATTTTCGCAGCCGTAATACACAATTTACAAGTGACCGTCTCTGAGGATTCTTTATTGCAGTTTCAAAAAAGTCAGTCTGCGCAGAAAACAGTGTACAAAAACTTAACCAATACAAGTAATAATCCCGCAAACTCCTATAACTGTGAATGATTGCAAAGGTTTTAAGGCATCATTTTACCTTCTCATCCTATTGATACTGTTTCTCAAAATATGAGACGGAACTGACTAAAGTTATTATTCAACCGAGGAACTTTAAAACACTAGCTTTCTTCCATGGTAAAGAATGTTAACTTCGCTAAGGTGCAATACTGAAGCGGGCTATGACCTCATGCTAAAATTTCTACTAGAGGATTTTCTCATGGTAAAATTTCCTTAGACCACATTTGAACAAATCCATGAGCTCACAAAAAAAGGGTATATTTTTAGCAGGTCCTTTAAAATGCGACATGCAAAATGTGCGCTAGAGAATGAATTTCAAACATTTCAGACGTGCTTTTGGTGATTTTCGCACCATTGCACTTGCAGAGAGTCTAGGCAGTATATTGCGTCTCTTGTTTGTGTCCGATCCGTTAGGAACTACACGGAAAAAAAATTGAATGTTGCTTTAGCATTTATAATGTTAAAAAAAATGTGCGATAAGCATAAATGCTGATTTTACAATGAAAAAAATCCTAAGTTAACTACATCCACGGTTAAATGAACAAATTCAGTGTTGAGTTTTTTAATGTAAAATCAGCATTTGATGCTTGTCGCACATTTTTTTAAAAATATACATAAATGCTAAATCAACATTCGATGTTTTTCCGTGTACTTTTCAATTTTCCATACATACCTGTGAGTAGCCGTAAATTTTAAGTTTTTTATTCTCTGGGTCGTGGTTTATCCTTCCTCCACCAAGGACATCGCAGTCCAGCTTCAATTTGTGCGCTCCTTCTAGGAACATCTCAAAAATGTCCGCTGTAACAGATCAACGATTATCATGACTCAAAGTGACTGATTGAATTGTGATTAAAAGTCCACAATAATTAAAAAAAAAAAAAAAAAATAACCGCATGCCATAAAGAAAATTCAAATTTTAACAAAGGAATTTTGCAACGTTCTGAGCACTCATACTGCGTTCTTCCTTTAGCACAGCAAAGGAAGATGGAGAGGATCCGAGAGTGCGTTACAATAGGATTTTGTTTTTATAGAGGAAATACTTCCTCTTCCTCACAGAGAATGAATCCATCCCGGATTTAAAATAATGATGATCCTGTTCAGACTTACGATACGGAAACTTTACCACCATTCGCACAGGCTTTGTACTTTGTCATCTAATTTCCTCCAACTTCAGGCAGAGGAAAAACTCATGGTGTAGGTTTGATCTTTAGTTTGAAACTCTGAAAAAGCGGAGAAAGTTCAACTTCGAAGGAAGCATAATTTATTTTAGACTCTTTTACTAAGGAGAAATATACTGTACCGTGTTTCGGTATTATTTGTCCTTACAAGGCCTTAGACAACCTTTTTGTTGCATAGCGTTGCATGAAAGCACAATTTATTTTTTTTGATTGATCCTCTGTGGCATTAAATTGAGCCGAAGCAACACATGGTTTTTGAAAAGGATCAGAGGTCTGATCTCCAAACTTTCGGAGAAAAAAATATAAATTGGGACTTCATCTGTTCCTACAATCTTAAAAACACAGCACAATGTAGATTTTTCTCTGAACTCGGTAACTGACTCATGCGACAAAGGGTTTTCTAAGGCTGCATTATGAGTACCTCGATATTCGAATTTCAGTAACGTAAGGGACGCAAATAACTGAGTAACGTAACAGGCGTTTTTAACGTGACCTAATGGCGGATGCCGCGTCGTCAATAACTGGATATTGTAATTGCGTTAACGTATGAAACGCAAGTAACCAACTAACATAATGTACTTTTGCAACCTAACTTTCTTGAGCTACATATTTTTTTTCCTTCTCCGGTTGTTCGGGGTCGGACACCGCAGATACCGGGAACTATACCGTTCTCTATGGGCTCTGCGATGCTCGTCCCAGGGCATCCAAGTTAGGAAAAAGTCTGTATAATTGTATATATTTTCAGTCGATAACCGTTATTTATTTTTAAGTTACATCTAAATATCTTATTTCTGTACAGAAGTTGATATGTTTAATAAATAAAAAAAAAAAAAAAAAAAAAAAAAAAAAATTTTTGTTGCAGGACGCACTGATCAAGAGGCTCGGCCCAAACGCCCATCCTTTCACGATGGAAGTTACGCATCTAGCGCCACCTAGTGTCCAATTAGTTCCTGCCAAAGCGTACAACGGTGCACCCATCGGAACCAGTTACGATGTTCGAGCTTATGCAGGTAAGACAAAATCATCATATCGACGGTGAAACTACCAAACCACGTATCTCGGTTTGCGACGTCGCAGACTTCCTGTCATACTTTATTTTTTAAACGAATAACTACTGAACGTCCAGTCTTGAAAATTTCTGTGATTTTTCCTCTTCGCGCGGAGAAAATTCTGTGAAAATTTCAAGGAATGATATTGATTTGGTCTACTTCAAAAAAATAAAATGTGAGCGTAGATTTTTAAACACCGCAACCGAGATACGTGGTTTGGTAGTTTCACCGTCGATATGTACCTTACGTATTTCCCTTAGTTTAACATGTACACAATTTGCGTTGCGTCACGGTTTTATGGTAAGTTTTACCACGGGTAAGGACACAAACTATGATTGTTAAAATTATCATTGAATACACATGCTGTTGAACTGTCATAATACTTCCAAAAATAGCATTACTGATCGATTTTGTGGAAGGGTGCTCTAGTAAAAATAAATTCTCTTCCGAGGACGAAAATTGAACGGACGATCTCGGCCTTGTAGGGACGATTTATTCTCATTATAGGAGCGCATCCACCAAAATGATAAAACCTTTCATTTCTGGCGCAATTTCTCCAATCCTACTCGCGTGATTATGGCATCAGCAAAGATGGTGGCAGAACTCGCGTTTGTTTTTTTTCAACAGAAATGTGAAGAATGGGTCACTGAGCCTTGGGTTTTTTCTTTAATATTATTCTGTAAGCACCAGACGCAAAGATTATGAGGTGATTTTTTTTCTTCCTCTTTTTTCTTGTGTGTGTGTTAGGGTGAGGGAGAGGGTGTGTGTTGCACTAGGTGGTTTTATGTGATGATTTATTAGTAACAGCTTTTCCTGCTTCTTAATAATCGATCGTGAGTGTCAAAAAAGAATCCTAATCTGTATGGATTGTATTCGATACATCGAACAGGTGAGATTGTAGGGATATCGATTGCTTCAACATGTTAACATAGCCTCAAACGTCAATTGAATAATCTGAGGGAACGAGGTTTCTGTGATAGATTTTTGATTCTCACGACTGCAAAATGGCAATGAAAGGTGACATTTTTGGACATTTTCTCATCTTCAGCTCATCCAGCTTAAATCCTAAAATTTTTGTTTGGTGTTATGCCCTAATGCTTTGAAGCAAACGATACATGGAACTACTATGGAATAGGACCTATTTCTTCCCATCCGAGCGATGGGATTGCTCCAGCGCAGCGACCCGGCAAGAGGTACACGCCTCCGCTTGGCGTTTTAGGTTTTACTCCGGGCGTATTATTTACGCGGGATCATCTTTCGGCAAGGAACAAATACGGACGGGCATAAAAACGTAGCGGAAAAGAAAGCGTTTATCTCGGCTTTTACGACGCATATTTCCCGGAGCCTGGATCCCGAAATCCGAAATCAAAACCTTGATTGGTTGCGGCCCAGGATCCGAATGGGAATGGGATTAAGTAAATCGTGGAGAGGAGGTGGGATTGGGTCCCGAGGCCGCGGTTGGGGAGCCTCCTTATCCGGCAGTGATATTCATCCTCCTCGTGATATCCATCCTTTTAGTGATATCCATCCTTCTAGTGAAATTCAAACTTCTAGTGATATTCAAACTTCCAGTGATATCCATCCCTCTAGTGATTTGCATCGAGGATCATGATCCTGGCTCTTTCGCTCCACTCGCCGAGGATGAAAAATGTAAAATTTAACGGGTTATTTGAAGAAAAGCGTGGCTCCCAAAACTCAAGTTTCCAGATCACACGAAAAAAAAAATGTACGAGACAACAGGGGAAACGTATATTTTTTTGACAACGGTCACTGAACCATGAGCGAATTTCGACGATCAAATTTTTGATAAGCTTTGCCTCAAGTTTCTTGAAACACTATCGATCAAATGTGAATGGAGCCTAGTTAAATTCATAAGTGACTTTTACAACTTTCTTGTCAAACTCGACAAAAGTAAAAACCTATCTTGTTTTTTCCCTCAAATTTCGTGGAAAAAGGGAAT